TTTGTTTTCTTGTATTTTATCGCTCTGCTGACCCTTGGGGTCCATTTTATTTTGGTATACCTTTTCTAGGTACGTTAGCCTGTGACCACGGAAATTGGCCGAGTCAAGTGATGGATTAGTACGGAGAGATTGAGACAGAAGGAGGTACTGGATATAGAGACCGGGATGGTTTTTAATGTGAAGACAACAACAACAACAACAACAACTGTCAACTTTTTTGGGGGGAGTTGCAAAGGCGTGGTTTGCTTTCTAAAATCAAACGCCCATTCTCATTTTTGGATACGTTCCCATTTTTCCCGTAAGTCTGTTCTATGGGGCTGTTAACCCCACGATCCTGTTTGCCCCGTCTACCTCTCCGACGGGTCATCTGGCAGCAGCTCGATCTATGCCTACCGTTACTGTGCATGAAGTACGTGAACAGGTTGTAAAGCAACAAATACGAAATGATAAGTGACACGCAGAGCTTGCGCTGTGAACACATATCTTAGATCTGGACTCTTCGTTGTCTGTTGAAAGCCATGCGTAAGATCTGCTGCGCTGTACGGGCATGCCTATGCAACTGTCGAACTCCGTAGTACATATTACTGATTCTGTAATGCAGCGGCGTTAAACTCTATATGCACGGTCTGGAGTGTACGTAGCTGTGCGTCCCGGGTCATNTACCGTTACTGTGCATGAAGTACGTGAACAGGTTGTAAAGCAACAAATACGAAATGATAAGTGACACGCAGAGCTTGCGCTGTGAACACATATCTTAGATCTGGACTCTTCGTTGTCTGTTGAAAGCCATGCGTAAGATCTGCTGCGCTGTACGGGCATGCCTATGCAACTGTCGAACTCCGTAGTACATATTACTGATTCTGTAATGCAGCGGCGTTAAACTCTATATGCACGGTCTGGAGTGTACGTAGCTGTGCGTCCCGGGTCATGCTTGGCTCGTCATATTACTTGGGGTGGGGATGGAGTATCCAGCGGATGTACATGCGCAACATGTAAGAGAGGATACTATCGGACCCCCGCGTGGGCTCTCCTGAAATTTGAATTTTGAACACATCATGCTTATCCCCTGCAACGCCTCGAACCTATTGTATTAGGTGGCAATGGAACCTAGGAACACGGCGGCAGCATTGTAAGTCTGCAAAACGCCAACCTCGCGCAGAGGTCGGTTCGCTTGTGAAGCTCCCTCCCTGATCTTGGAGCTGTTGCAGTGTGGTACGCGCCTGCCGCAGTCCGACTTTCTCGCCCTACCATGCATGTCTGGACGTGTTAAACATACCCTGCTGTGCTCTAGCATCATTTATACATACCTCTCTTGATAACTGGGCAGTTTAGCCTCTCCTTCGCCCTCTAAAGCCGGTGCTGGGTGTGGAGGTCTGTTGCCGAGAGCGCGGCCCGATCAGAGGGGTTTCCACACGGGGCTCCGAAGCGTTTTTTCTCATCCTTTTTTTTTTTCAGTCGTGCAGCACTGGCCCAAAACTCACAAGCAGCAAGCAGCAATAGCTCAAGGCTACTCTAGTTCCTCGCTCTCTCTTGCTGCCTCGCTCTCCCGTTCTCTCGCTCCCTCTAGTATATACATCCTCCATACAGGGCATCGACAAGGAGCGCATGTAAGCTCGGTGGATCTCAGTGTCCGACCTGTGTGTTATCTGTTATCATCGCGATGCAAAATTTGAAACTGGTTTCTTCTGTTGTTGCGTCACGTTTGGTCGAATGAATTTTGTGCGTGGCATTGAACATCTGGACCGAGTCACTGTCCATTCGTTGATACCCATGCGATAGAATCAGCCCATGCACTAGGAACTCATGCCCATCTACAAGCGGACTGCGTCAGACTCTCCATCCGAGACCAGACGTGAACATAACAATGATACCATTCATTGTGTTGTCCGCCCGTCCTTCAGAGGGATTCATAGGCAAGAATGATGATGCAGCAGCTCGTTACCAAACAAATGAAGGCCCACAAACATGAGGCATTTCAGAGCAATCACCTTCGGACACTTCGGAAGTGACTTTCCTCCATCAGTAGATAAGTTTGGGAACATGTATACAGTATCAATGTACATCGGTTTTCTTCTACGATGTGCTTCCCGCCACTTTCTCTCTCCCTCGCACCTCGATCCTTCTCTCTCCCTCCCTCTCTTCCTCTTGCTGCCTCGCTCTCCGTTTTCTCTGACTCCCCTCTAGCACATATTACATCGTTGGCTGTGCGGAGCATCAACGAAGAACATGTAAGCCCAGTCGATATCTCAACTTGAGCCCTATTTAGGCCCGCCACCACCCGAGCATCCAAGAATGAACGATATTTTGTTCGGAGACCACGCGTGAATGAAAATAAACGCTGCACTATGTCGACAGCAAGTGAATTTATCCGATTCGTTACAAGCCATCACTCGAGCACATACATGCAGCATATCTACAAAACGGATTGCCTCAAGCTCTCTCCCTAAGGCCAGGTGCGAGCAAGGGCAGCGTACCCCCCAGAGTCTCTCCAAGTATCATGTCTTCGACGAGCCTATTGATATATTCATTCCCTCATTCATTAGATGAGCCAAAATCACAATGTATCCCGGATGGTTATTATTTGGCACAAACTGGTTGAGATTTTTCACCGATTGATGAAACAGGGCCCGCTTCAAGCAGACTGCGAGAAGGACGGTCAAGACTCCCAGGGAAAGCAACGCGCGTGCTTCCCGTCCCCGCTCTCCGCCTTCGAGAGCTTCCAGGCGTCGCTCGTCCGGGCCCCCTCCTCTCAAACGCAACCGCGACAGTGACAACGCCGATAGCCGTGACGAAATCAATGCCGCTAAGAGAAACAAGAGGTACCGTGTTCGACTACAATATAGCAGCTATTTATCAATAGCACTGCTGCAGGCTATATATTCATGCGTTCATTCTACAATATACAGCAGGCAAACACCACTCTTACTCCTCGATTATACAGCTAGCCACGGCACCACTTTCGGCCAATTCCACACAAGCAATGTGCGTAGTGGCGACCCTTTATTATTGTGAAACTTACACACAGCCGGCACTATTCATCATGAAGGTTCCGGCCTGGAGCGCTCGCTCTGAAAGAGATTCGGCGCTACCAGAATTCGACCGAGTTGCTGGTACCCAAGGCAAGCTTCCAGCGACTCGTGAAAGAAACCGCTGGCGCCGTCGCCGGCAATCTGGCAGGACAATTGCGGTTTCAGTCGACTGCCGTCATCGCCCTTCAATATGCGGCGGAGGCATACTTGGTGAGGATATTCACACGAACTACTTGCCCACTCGTCATAGAGATGTTGAATCTCAGGTGTTGGAAAACTGGGGTGTCGCGCGATGAAGCTACGAATTTTGCTGCCCCTTGGAATATAGTACCACAATGTAACACACCTGTACCGAAGACCTCCGCGGCGCGCAGCACTTGCCCAGTCGACTACCTGGCCATACTGGCGACATATAGGCTCCCTTCCGTACGCGATGGGTAGAACGGATCCCAACGTCGAGGTAGCTTTTGCCTGCGCTACAGAATGCACAGGCAGTTTTTTCTCCGAGAGGGCTAAGGAAGAGAGTGAACAGAGCGGTGCCACAAGCGGCCGGCCCGATCATGCTAGCAAGTGGTATGTGGGAGAATTGTGTGTGTACCAGTATGTGGTCTCCAGATTTCCCACGGTTCTTGGAACGCTCGTATTTTGCTGCATTCACTCGGAATGGTCACAAATTCCAGGATTCACTCCTGTCGCGTGCGTGTGCGCAAATTCCAGCATTCACTCCTGTCACGTGTGCGTGTTGCCTCTTACTCAATGATGAAAATATGTATCGGGATGGTAAGTATGCTATGGCTGCGAAGCACTTTATTGTTGTTTCCTCTCACAACGAATAGTATCGTTTAGGTTGTGGCAAGTTTACGTTGCGCTCCCCGTACCTTTGGCATGTGTGACTGGCTTTTCTCTAACTCTCGTCCCCTCCTTTCTCATTTACCCTTTCCCGATCAACCCTCCCTGTGTGCGGCTAGGTCGGTCTGTTCGAGGACACCAACCTATGCGCCGTACACGCGCGGCGCGTCACCATCCTGCCGAAGGACATGCACCTGGCGCAGCGACTGCGCGGAGAGGTGTAGCGTCGTGATGTGTACCTTATCGTCTTGATGTCTCTCGTTTTTCTGTCCCACCCCGTGATGAACGTATTTTTTGGCCGATTTTCTCCGCAATCCGACAGAGAAGGTTGGAAATTCCCGCTCTTTCGTCCTGCTAGTTAGTTCTCCCAAAGACTGGTCTCCCTCTCGACAAGTACCGACAACATTTCTTGTTGGAGGGAAGATGGGGGGTCATTGTCAAAGGGAGGTGGAGACGCTGGGGACACTACGGTAGCACAGGTGGTATGTGTGCAGGACCATCGCTCGAGTTTGATTTCGAGTCCACTAGCAAGCCCACGTGGCAGCTCTGCACCATGCTGGTTTCATCATGTATATCATGCTACTGTAGATCATCTCAAGTCGCAAGCCACTTCTATCGGTGCGGAGCAGCAGTTCATCGCCATTCCGCGCCCGCCACGGAGTATGACAGTTTCAGAGGGTGAGTGCGATACGGTATGGCGAGAAGGAGAGCTCCCGAAGGAGCAGCAGGGGCAGCGATCGGTATCAGATGTGAGGCACAACTTTCGATGGCAAACACCATCGCACCCGAATCAAGGAGATAGGACCGCATAGTAGTGGGGACAGGCGACGCGACAGAAATATTCCAAACAATGATCGTGAGGACCGAAAGCAAGAAATATCCTCAAACACGTTGTTGCAGCCTGCTGAAGTTAACTACTATAGTGGCCCTGAAAGGCAGCACGTGCGATCATGAGTTGTGGTGCCATATCTATCTATGGTCTGCTACAGCGTATGTCTACGAGTGAAATGGCAGGCCATGGTGGCACCTACCTGTCGTCCTGCTTCTGGTTGTTGGAGTTTGAAACAGGATATATACGTACCGCGTGCGTGACTAGGTTCGGGATAACTTGTAGGTTGTGATGATGGGTCCGCAAAAGAGTATTCAGGTATTGGCATTGTTTGTGGTGTGGTACGGTGCAGTATGTGCATGCCCCCCTTTCGTTGGGCTACGGCGCTTCATGTTTTGCAGTGTCTACAGGCAGGGGCGTCGGGGGTTGTTGTTGTTGTTGTCTTCACATTACACCGTATGTCAGTTGCTAAATGCCAAAATCTAGCAAAGACTCTTAGTCCGTGGTCACGAAAGTGCTAGAGCCATCTGAGGATCTAAAGAACACGCACACATATAACGAGAAACAGGTATCCAAGAGCCCGAAGAGGTACACCTAAAAATCCCTGCAGTACCGTATGCGTGCCCAAAAACTGAACTGCATGTCCGTCCCACGGTTTGACTACAGTAGCATCACCCCCTCCCTGTCCCACTCTATACCAAAACGGAAGATTGCCGACTACAGCATACTGCTGTCTGAAGTGCTGTCTGTGCAAAAACACCATGGTAGGCATCGAACAAGCAGCTGGCGGGGCACAAAGCTGCTGTCTGAAGTGCTGTCAGAATGTGTCTGCGGCCGTACAGTGAAAAAGAACAACCAACCAAAGCCATCATAGCAGCAATTGACAATCACCCGAATCTCTCCCGATCGTCTGTGTTA